TGGTTCTTCAACATTTTCAAGTGAAGAAATTACACAGCCACACAAAAAAAAGTTGTCTGTACTTTTCATGGGATATATGTTATCCGTAGTATTTTTACCTCCTGATCATGAATCCGGTGTCAGAATTGAGCTGTCACATCACAGGAATTTACTAACCTCAAAAAACAGGTCAAAAATTGCAAAAATTCACAAAAAATGATGGAAAAATACAAAAATTTTTTCTATATTCAAATGTTCATTTATATTATATGGTTAAGACCCCGCCGAACGTGAATCCGTGGTCATAATTGATGGTTCTTTTTCTAACCTCAAAAAAAAACGGGTCAGATATCAGGAATTTTCAAAAAATAACAGATTCGCGCCAAATTTGGTATACGGGAATTTTCGGAGTCGCTGATCACGGATCCGAGGTCAATTTTGCAAAATTCAAGATGGCGGATCCTAGATGGCCGACCAATTTTTCAATAAATAACATATTATTGCCAAATTTGGTATACGGGGTTTTTCAGGGTCGCTTATTATGTCAGAATTCGAGATCAGAATTGCGAAATTAATTTTGTAATATATTTGTTTACTTTATAACATGAGTAGGTACCCAATTATGTTTTAACCTTCTTTTCGGATATATCTTGTTCTTTGTTGCAAAAGATCTTTTCATGGGTTTTCTGCCTAATCTCAGGTAATAAAGTACATAGGTGATTAAATTTTTAAACACGAATTTTGTAAATGTGATCTCAGATTCGTAATCAGTGACCCCGAAAACCCCCGCATACCAAATTTGGTGCGAATCTGTTATTTTTTGAAAATTCCTGAATTAAGGTCAGTAATTGACCCGTTTTTTTTTTTGGTTAGAAAAAAAACCACCAATTATGACCGCGGATTCACGTTCGGCGGGATCTTAACCATATAAATGAACATTTGAATATAGAAAACTTTTTTTTGTATTTTTTCTAGCACTTCTTCGTGAATTTTTGCTATTTTTGACCAAATATATCTCACAAATCAGATTGCACCAATTTAGTTGATATTTTAGGTGTAACACGCACTGCAGCACGGTTGGTTGCAAAAGGGTGAATTCCCTTCAAAAAGAGCATCCCTAACATGTTACTTAAAACATGTTTGAACAAACTAATTCGGGTTCTACATTTATGGAACACATCGTAATGGAAGATGAGACATGGGTCAGGAGTATGACATGCAAGTCGGCCAACAAGCTTCCGAATGGCACTTTTCTAATGAGCCAAAACCAAAAGAATCACCATAAAGTCGATCAAAAATTAAAGTCATTATGAGGCATTTGAGAGTATCCACATAAAAAAAAAACAGATTTATGGAACAATTCTTGGATTTTGTTGTACCACGATAATACAGCATCACATAAAGCGATAATTGCAAATAAATTTTTGTCCAAAAACTCGATCAATGGCATTGAGCAGCTACCGCTGACTTTTTTTCTATTTCTCAAACTCAAATTACCACTTTGTGAAACACGTTTCCAGTCAATGGAAGACACAAAACAAAAATCGCTGAAGGAGTTGAAGTCCATACGGGAATATGCTTTTAAAAGGTGCTTTGACGAATGGGTTGTTCGTTGGAAAAAGTGTATTGCTTCAAATGGGGCCTATTTTGAAGGAGACAAAATAAATTTTGAGATCGATTGAATATATTCTGTTTTATGAACAGAGTGTACAATAGTAACCGAACCGATTTTCCGTGTTAAGTTTTAGTTTTTACTGTTGTGTTTTATTAAGTTTAACTTTATAGTAAAATTTAAAGTGGCATTCTGTGAAGTGTCTCCTGCAATGTAAGTGAATAAGCATATAAAGTTGTTTATTTCAGTGTTTAGCGGTACTAAGAATAATGGCTGGCTCCCCTCAAACATTTTTCTAGCGCAACTAACTGTAATGCTGTAGATTTCTTTTTTATCTGTTGCTTATTGGAGAACATGCTTCATTAGCACACTAATTAAGCTCATTATACAAAAGGCAAAAGCAAAGTAAGATGTGGAGATGGACTTGTGGTTCTAGAAGAGAATTTTTTTTAATGTAAATTCTTACAGTAAAGTGCGCTGCTGTATGTTTACTTGACATGTATTTTCTGTTAGAGACGGTGGCCACAAAAGGACAAAAAATTGTAAACGTATAATCTGTGGATAAGTTGGTGGCCCACTGGTTTAAGGCGTCAGGACCTGAATCGATGAATGCCATTGTTGCGGGTTCAATCCCCTGGCTGTAAGAGGATAGATTAACTATATTTGTAGAGGGGAATTAGGCATCCTCCCTGCGGGTATCGTAGTGTGGAGGAACATTGGATCAATGCAAGATACTGATACTAGTAGATGTTTGATCATCCCGTAATTAATGAAATTTTCTAGGTTTCCATCACTCCCGAGTGGTAGTTAGTGTTTACCTATGTAAGTTGTTCCTAGGCGCAAATGCGTCCCACTGAATAATAATATGCCGTACCCTTTCCCACACAAGTCTCTGACTTCTGGGCTAATCAATGGGATTATAATTATTATATTCATTTTATTATTTATTAGTACTAGAAAGAGGCATAAGTGACAAAATAATGTCTTATACGTTTTGAAATATTTTGAAAATTAATTTAAACATGATTCAGTCAGCTACTTGGTTTTCAGTATTACTGTGATTTTGTTTTTAAATACATTTATTGGTTAGTTATTAACTATAAAATATCAAAATATTGCATGAAAATTATGAAAATGGTTTTAAAAATATTCAATTTTCACGATACAATTTAGGAAAACTTGTTTTTAGAGGTAAAAGTCCATATAAATGTTACACCCTGAATTTGATTCGTTTAGAATAAATGTAATAACATTTTTGGTACTACCTGAGTCAAATTTGTGTTCTGTTGAGTTGCGGAATGCTTGGTACTGAAGGTGGCTCACATGAAGATATGCAACGGTGACATTTGAATTTTCTTCTGTCAAATTCAATGTTTGTTGATGGGCACATTTGTAAGAATTTTCCAGAGGTGTTGAAAATTCCGTTTTCTGGTGGAACAACTTGTACACTTTGGGGACTGAAATAATCAAAAATTACTGAAATACCTACTGCTAAGTAGCCATTTCATATTTATCTTATTATTTTAAACTTTTTATATTTATGTGCCATTTTTATATACCTATTCCTTGAAGGAAATCTTTTAATACTCATTATTTTCAGCTGAAAATCCTATTAATTTTTTGGATGTTAATTTGTCAAAAGTTTTAAATACATATTTTGCATTCTTATATTTGAGATGCTCTATATCAAATTCTATAAGAATCCATTTTTAAATTTTAGATACAAATTAGAAAGTCTAACAGGTTTCTGGCAAGTGTAATTATGTATAAATTTGTAAATAGTTAAATTATTGATTAGTTTTCATTGCATGCAGACCATTATAAAAAAATTTGAAATGCATTAAAAACAGATATATTGTTATATTTAATAATCATCATCATTCAATAACATATGAAATCATTTCTGATAACACAAAAGTATAATAAAATAAATTGATATAATTAAATGAGCAATATGATATTTTATCAAACTTTTAGAACAAATGCGTTGAAACATTCAAAACAGATTCTGATTAGTCATGAAATTAGATATAAAATTTCTAGAATAAAGAGATGATAAGACACAAAACATTAAAAAATTGTATGTCTAAAATAATCATTAAACAAAAATAGAACAAATGAAATTCCATAACAAAATTTTCCAGTACCTATCTTTATATGATTATAGAATGTTGTACTTACCTGAATTTATTGAAACATTGAGAGTAGAAACGATGCGGTTCAGATCAAATTTATTTGAGTTGTTTTTTTCAAAATCTAATTCTAATGAATTGTTCTGACCCCACGAAACTGTCAGTGTCTGCACATCCTTTCCCTCACAGGAGCCGCTGGCAGTCGCATCAACAGGTACATTGACTTTTGTTTTGTTTGAATCCAGGATTTCGAACTGCGTGGCCACAAATAAGATAATGCAGCTTCGGTTGCTATTAGCATAATTCACCGTCCAGTTAGCTACTTTTGGATCCACTGGTCCAGGAGCAGGAGTTGGTGTTGGAGTTGGTGTTGTAGGCTTAGGTGTGGTTGATGTAGGTTTAGGTGTGGTTGATGTAGGCTTAGGTGTGGTTGATGTAGGCTTAGACGTTGTTGTTGTAGAGGGTGTTGTTGGTTGTGCTGTGGTAGTTGTTTTAGGGGTTGTCGCAGAGGTTGTAGATGTTGGAGGTGGAGTTGTGGATGTCGGTGTAGAGGTAGGTTGGGGAGGTATTAATGGACTTGTATGAAGTGGCTCTGGATCAAGTTTATCCCCTACAAAAAAAAAAAAATAATACAAACAAATATTAGGAAATGAATATTTAAAAGTTAGGTTTTCACAAATTTAAGGGTCACATTTCAAGGATAGCTTCCTTGGATGAAAATACAATGGTGAATAATTTAAATGTGAACCTAAATGTTAGAAATCATATAATCTCTTTTTGAATGATAGCCAGTCACACAAGCCGTATTTTTTAAATAATTTTTTTAAATATCAACACATGTAACTGACAAGTGAGTCAAATTCAATATAATCTCAAAACTTACTATATGTATGAAAAAACTAATTATACATTTTCAGTTCAATTTACAACAAAAATTTTGCTGTCCAATTAGCTAATTGGTATATTCATTTGTTTTCGAATTACAAAGTAATTCTTGTAATAATTTCAAAGTTATAACCCTTTCTAAACGAACTTTTCGGTACCGAATTGACTAATGATATTAATTTTTTAATCAAGTTCACGATCAGGAAATTATGAAACAAACATATATATATATATATATATATTCTGTGTAATATATCATAGGTATTTCAACAAATATAGTTGGTACCTAATAACTTACTTTAATTAGTTGCTGCTGTTATGTTTTTTTGTATGAAGTAATATTTCTTTCTTTTTAATTTCCTGATGGTCATATTTAGTTACTGTAAATTGCTTTGCCAAAAAAAAACATGTGTCTAATATTCTAAAAAAAGTAAATTGTTATGGCATTTTGGATGGCTTGTTAGAAAGAATATTATCTTTGTACTTTTTCTACCTTCAACATAAAAATTGATTTAGTTTTCTGCATTAATGTGACGCTAAGCAAGTAACACTGGAAATAAAAATTTCAGGTTTTTTTCTAAGGAAGCACAGACAACATAAGGAACTGATGATTCAGCTAAAGAATAATTTATGGTTCGCTAAAGAAAATTAAAAACTGGAGTCCAATCTGGAGTTTGTTTTATTCCGTTTTTAGAAAAGTTGATGATGATTGTATTTGCAACATTTTGCTAGAACCTTTTTCCTAGTACTTTTAAAAACGAATTATTCATTTTTGTGGCAATCACATTTGTAAATATGCAGGAATGGACGACATCTCAAGAGTAGCATCAAATAAGTCAATTTACATCTTTGTTGCCTTAAAAAGTTAGGGACCTTTTTTAAAACAAGTCACATTTTAACATTATTTCATAAAATTTGATATTGGAGGGTTTTGGGATTGCTGAAGATTTTTTTTATCTAAAATATAGAAGCCACTGCAACAGTCATTTGCCCTTTTTTTATATTTTTTTATTAGTAGAAGTTTTGAAAAATGCAGACAACCGATTTATTATTAACGTTTCATTATTAAACCTCACCCTGTTATTAAATTTGTAGCTTTGTAAAGCCTTTTCTTAAATTAAATCAACTTACCTCTATTCAAAAGTCAACACCTACTTAGATAAAAAGTATATAAATGACCAATATCATTCAGTAAATCATAACAAAAAGAAGTGTAATTAGAGTAAAATACTCTCTTTAATAATGACTCAGTTGTTTGTAACTGATGGCTGCAGCACAAGATTGAAAATGATTTTTTTCTGGAACAATGCATTTAGCAGCATGCAACGAATATACTTCTTTCAACAAACACCTGCATTTTGTCAAAATTTCCAAATATAAAAAAAAACAAGACAAAGACAAAGACTTAGCGACCCCTCCGTTTTAGATAAAAAAAAATAAACCTCTGTTCATCTTTGGCTACCCCAAAAAATTAAACCAAAATTCATTGAAATATCATAATTTAGTGACAGATTATCTTAAACAAAAGAATTAAATAATTTTCAAGGTTTATAATTTTTTAAGGAAGGGTGATCCAGGAAAATGCTAAAAATTACCTATATTCTTCACAAACGTACAAGTTTTTACTAAACTATAAACAAAAAATATTATTGCATAATTAACTAAGTAGGTAACCAATAAGTTAATATCAAAATAGAATAGGTACTTGGTTTGATAAGGGAAAATGTGTGACACAAAACATAAAATTTATATTAGATTATATTTTCAATAAAACTCAATTGGAAATGCATAGATTAAAATCATTGAGAAAAAGTCATATAGTAGGTACCCAGTCAATAGGTATTTTTTTGCTATTAATAAACTCAATAGTTGATTTTGTGTATGTAGTTCCCCCTTAAGTTATAAATTTACTTCCTTATCTGTGTTGCAAACAAAGAATATTGTACACATCTTGATAAAAACGTGCACCAGTATTTATTTATGGTGAATTCTCACTTTATCTTGTTAAGTAAATACCTAGGTATTATTATGAAGTAGGTATCAATATGTATTTCTCTATAAATATCAAGGGGAGAAAAAGTAAATGGCGATGCAATAATTCCTGGAATATCTACATTTACGTAATTTAGATCTGAATTCACTAGAATCCATCTTTTTTATTATTCTCGGCATGCGGTTAATAATATCCGCATCATATTTGGTTTTATAACTGGGCAAATTAGAATAATTGGATAATAAACGTTTCTGGATCGTTTCAGAAATGATTGTTCATACACATTATTTCATATTTTTGTAAGTACTTGTAACCTAAATACATACCTGAGCCACATACACCTGCTATCACCCCACAAACCAAAAGAAATACTTTAAAATTGGCCATATTTATTAGTAGAAGTAGAAAATATTGTGTCCTCAACAAAAGCACAATTCACCAACTGTCAAATATTTCTAGCTCCTTTTCCGCATAAAAAACGTTGCGTTACAAAACTGTACAACCCAAGGACACGGAACCAATCCAATGACTACACTATACACCTATCACGTACCACACAGACAAAGACGCAACGCAATGCGAAATACTAGACTGAATTTCACTTAACAATGGTGGCATTGGTGGCACAGTTATTGCGCATGTGCGCTTTATCGAAATTTTGTTTCCTTTCCGTTGTCCACATTGTATGATTTAAATTTTTGCGCGAATTAGGATACCTACATTTCTGCTTATTTCCATTTTCGTATCTGAGATAGAGATACCTATATGTATTTATCATAAAAAATTAAAGTTGTAAATTACTTAGCTTATTTTAATAAGTATTAAAAATAATTTTCATCTGTTATAAGCAAGAGAATATACAGGGTATCCAGGAAAATGATGGACAATCTATCGCATTTGGGTAAGATTTGCAAAAATAACGATGCAAGTTTATATAATTTTGTTTTATTCTGGCTGACCCTGTAGAGAGAATTATTTGGTCTTGAAGTTGAAAGTTGATGAAAATCGATTTTTCGTTATAACTTTTTTCATTAAACTTGGTCAATTTTTTGCTAAACGCTGTGCTATTTGAAGTACGCGTATAACGATAAATTTTATTTATTTTCAACATATATAAACCTGTGATACTTCTTTTGAAATGCTTAACCCGTATTCAAGAAATTGACCATCATTTCTTGGACACTCTGTAGGTATAGTTTCCTGCTTTTTTACATATAGAAATGAGTATATTTTCATTGTATCAATTTCACCATCGGAAACCATCCCAGTTTCCTTGTTCGATAGGACGTTTATTTTATCATACACACACAATACTTTGTTGCACGAAGCGACAGATAATATGAAATGCACATACAAAGAAATAGCTGTTCTGTTTATTCATTTCCTTCACTTTTTATTAAAATAAGATTTTAACTTTGCGCTTGTATTAGGGTGATACGAAAACGTACGTTTGGAAAAATAATAAAAATCTTTCTAAAGGTACAGATGTTTTATAGAAAAATGTATTTTTTCAAAAATATCAATAACATTTGTTATACACTGAAAAGTTCTCAGTTACTTCTAATATCTTTGTCATCATTTAGGTAAAAATTGTGTTTATTTTTAAGTGTACATTTTTATCCCCTTTATAACACCTACTACAGGTGTCATTTACGAGACATCTTAATATCTTTTTCGTCCTTTGATTAAAATTTGAAAAAAAAATGTGCATTTATTGACTTCTTTAAAATAAGAGGATTTTTTGAATTTGCATGACTTGTGACGCCATCATGATATCACTTGAGAATAAAATCTAACGGAATAAGATCAGGATACCCTGCTGGTTATTAACTGTCAATCTAAACTCTGTGGGTGTCACCATTTTCTTGGAAAACCATTAACATAGTTTTATATAATGAATCTCAATAATTGTTTCAACAAAAAATCCAAGCGAATTTGGAACTTTATATGATAGTGCTATAGGTACATTTTTTAACAAAGGTTAGATTAGGTTAGAAATTACTACAAATAAGAAGTGGATCTTATTTGTTGAAGAGCGAAATGGGCGGTGACTATTAGACGCCTTCATTATAGCCATCTTTCTCTATCGCACGGATTTCTATGACTTTCGTTATCGCCCTCTTGTAACGGCCGATGAACCATGGGGACTTTCCGACCCTGTAGGTACCTATACGTTGTATGGTACGAGGTTGATGTTCGCGCTCGACGAAGGCAATGTTTTTTTAGGAGGCGGTCACTACACATGTGAGCCTGCACAATGTAGCCAACTATTCGGAATGAAAATGGCACACAACTTAAATCCTGCGTTACTTTTGGGACATTCTCTATAATGGGTATAGGTAGAAATGAAACAAGCAGTGTGTTAGAACCGCTATTAATATTTATTTTTTAAAAAAATTACATTAAAGCATACTCAAATTATTCGAAACGTGCATCGTCGATGCACAATATGGGTAAGACATGAAGTTATAACATGAAGTTCCAGACTGTGCCCAACATTAGACCATATAGGTACAATATATTAGAATTAAAATTATAATTTATTATATTATACATTGCTGGAATAACAATGTGTAAGTACATAGCGAAAACAATTTTTAATATCTTTATTTTTTTAATTTCGTTTGGTGAACGGCAGGTCCGCCATTAATTATTGAGATCTTGTATAGCTGATCTTAGGTTATAACTGACTTTTAACAACAATTTATATATAATTTAGAATTGAGAATTTTAAATTAACAATGACCATATAGCGTTTAGTCTTTAATTTTAATATTAGCGGACGCACAATGTCCACCTTTAAATAATAACAGATATTATTATTCTGTACAATATTTCTCTCAGTTATAATCTAAGTTGAGATAGTGTTAATATTCAATTTTTTGGTACTAGTCGTATTAACAATTTAGAAAGAATCATATACAAGTTAGTTTATATTAGACGACTTCTCTGTTAAATAGAGTAGTGTAGGAATATCACAAAATAATTTTTCAACTGTATATTATATATCGTACACCCGCCAGACTTGCGTGCATCACCCGCTGGTGACTTCTTTTGGAATATGAACGTTGTAGAGTTGTTTGTGCGCTTGAAGTGTGTCGTAGCAAAATTTAATATTAACACTATCCGTGTTAATTTGGGCTGAGTGTTCGCCCATCTTGATATGCAAAATGCACCCCAAAAGAAATCAGTCCTACTTTGCAAACAGGTGGTAGTATCATTCGAAAATCTTAAACCTGATTATTACCTAATATATAAGTATCTAAACTCTATGAAGTACAATTAACACTTAAGTAGTTACTATGTATAACAATATCTTATTAATTTTGCATAATCTTTTGTTCTGCGATAGAACTACAGCATTGTAACAGTGCTTAACACATAGTTTTTTATACTTTTAATATATGTATATATAATGCCTAAAATGAGCTTAATAATTACTATAAAACAAATACACATGGATTTTGCATAATCTAAAGTTACAACGAAAGGTTATGTACATAAATCATATTCCACAATCGCCCTATCACAACACGGAGACGGTTCGTCTTTCATCAGAACATACTCAAGTGTCCCTTACCATACAATTAATAACAATTATATTATTGTAATGCGTCGATACGTAGCACGGTTTCAGCAAAACTGTACGAAAATGGCTGTTTATTGTTATGCAGTAAGTTGGTGGATCCCACCAGCGCCCCCCTGCGGGACGCTAATGGGGGGTCCGTGGACCAGCCGAAGCCGAGTACAGGGGTGGCCAAAAGCGACCTAAACCAATTACATCTAACAGTGGCAGAGTTAAAATTCCAAACTGCTATGGTTTGTGAACTAATTGATATAGAACTAAACTATCTAGACCGTCATCATCCTTGATCTACTTAATTTTATACAAAAAATCGAGCCCCGTGGTTTATATTGTTTGATGGCAGTTGTTAGAGCCTCCTCTTGGCCGCTAAGGTGGAGCTGCGGGGAAGCCGCTTAGTCTATCATCAGTTCGAAATGGACGGACCCTCGCTTGTCCGCGCGGTCGTGGTGGATGTTCTTCGCCCAAGCCTTGCATTCGATGTTGATAAGAACGCCACCTATAAAAAGAATATAGGTTTTACTTCCTGGATCGAATGCTATATGCCGTAAAAATGTGGGAATGGAATGGCGGCAAAGTGGTGCCAACGAGTTTAACGTATAACGAAATGACAAGCTATCGATTTACCGGTTTAAAAAATGTCGTTGTGCAGAGCATGAGGCTACTCTTTCATTTGCTAACCTCGACAGTCAACATACAAAACCGAAGCATGAAAAAAATTCATTGGTTTCATCCCCCCTAAACGAAACAGAAGTTATGGCACTTATACCCTTTACAAAAATGATTTAATCTCAACGAAGTAACTTTTTTTTATAATGTTTCGCATATTACTTAAAGAACTACGCCCTCTGCTCCAAAAGAAAGTATACGAACTTTAGAAACTATGTCTTTAATTTTTCCATAGACAAGGATATGCTCAACAAATTATGGGAATATAAACACATAATTACATAAGTTTAAGATTTGTAACTGGAATGTTCCCAAAGTAAAGAATATTGATGACTTCTTCTTAAAATACAAAATTACCTACGTAAAAATTTCAACTTCGTATACGACAGTGTAGGTACTGTTAATAAAACTCAGAATTAGAAAAGTAACTTCGACTTGTCTTCTTTTCGTGTAGACAAATAGGAACTGAAGTGGTAGTGGTACAGAAGAAGCTCTTGCCAGTTGCCCGTTGAATTTAACATGTGAGAGACTAATGGTGACCACCACCATCACCATCACTCTACCCTATGCTCGCTACCGCATTTGTTTACATACGCTGCAGTGGTTACACCTGCCATTTGGTCACTACGCCACCGCTACATCACTTCAGTGCGCGCATTACTTTAGCTCCAGCTTTAGCTTATACAGGGTGTCCGGGAAATAAATCATTTACAAGATACAGGGAAAAATGCATTATTTCTTTTCGCTGATCAATCGTTACAGAGTTGTGACGGTAAGTAGATTTTGATTATGTAAAATTAAAACAGAAAAAACAATCTCATAGTCGGTATTAAAATAGATGGTAATTCTGATTTTTTGGGCATGACAGTAACCAAGAATCACTAAAATTATGTATTTATCTAATGAAATATGGTTCATGGATTATAAAAAACGTATTTATTTTTTAATTATGAACGAGATTGATAATATTTTTGATCAAATAAAACTACAAAATTCAGCAAATCGCCATGATAGGTTGAACACCAATCAGTCCTGCGACACATTTTTTAAAAAACTCGTATCGACTGATGAAGATGACATGAAAGTTGAAGAAGAGGTTAGACCAACATCAAAGCTATATGGCAGAGTGACGGCCTCACGAGCGTTTGAATTTAGTCGGTGCAAAACCACTAATGTAACTCTGATCAGGTGAATAATGGGAGGAAAAATCTCAGATGCATCGGCCATGAAACGCGATAGAATATTGGAGGATGAAGTGAGGAAAACTGTAAGTACCTGTTTGGGGAAAAAATTGAAAAAATGTAGTATAATGCTTTGCAAATATTATCCCACGATAGCAGGATCGCCTGATGGAATTTGACAAGACAGTATTATTGAAATTAAAGGTACCACGAATATGAATACTTTTAAAAATTATGTGGAAAAAGGAAAACCGACCCAGAAGTTTTATGTGCAGATGGCAGCTACAAATGTATTTAACAGGGCTTCAAATGGGCTATTTCGGTGTAGCTGATTGCAACTATAGTACAAATGGTAAAGAAATAATCAATGTTACATTTGATGACAACTATGTATCAGATTTTGTTAATGTTTTAGTCTCTGCATGGAAAGACAATGTGCATCCATGATTATACCAAAGTACAATTTGAGCGTGAATAAAATGCATATAAAATCCTTCCACAAATAAGATCCACTTCTTATTTGTGGAAGGGCGAAATGGGCGTTGACTATTAGACGCCTTCATTATGCCATCCTTGTCTATCACATGGATTTCTATGGCTTACTTTATCGCTCTCACGTAACTTCTGATAGACCATCGGTACTTTCCTACACTGTAGATGTGACGTCACATAGACGCCATGCTTTTGTGTGAGTTTAGACTTAAAATTAAAATGTCAATATTTTTCTACTAAACCTTTTATTTTCTACAGAAATAAGATATTTTTTGCAAATAGTAAATACTTCCGAACATCATAGAATAGTTTTTCAAAATCTGTCGTCATGCCTAACCGATTCATATTTTTGTGACCCGTGACATTGATATTTTTTTAATACCGAATTGTAGAACAACCCTACTAGACCTTGCGAGTCCATAAAACTAGTTCTGTGTTAAAATAGTCCGTAATTCCTATTTTTAAGTAAAAAATTAACCAATTCGTATTTTTGTTAGCTGAGATAGAAATAATTTTTTAATAGTGCCAGTTTCAGGAAACTATTTCTGTGCTATAATAGATGGTAGTTTCGATAGTTAAGTAAGACGGTATACGACAGATGTCCAAATCGTCGTGTGCCACACAGACAAACTTTTAGAAATATTGAACGTCGATTGCAGGAAAATGGTTCATTTAAATCCAGATATAATGATGCTGGTCGAGCTCGATATATTCAAGCAAATGATACTAAACTACTATACTATTTTAAATATTGTTCGTCTACAAGGCAATGTATCACAATCAGTGCGGCGAGTGTTACGAGAGCAACAATTAAAGCCGTACCATATTCAGAAAGTACAAGAGTTGCTGCCTGAAGACTTTTCTAGAAGAGTTACTTTTTGTAGAAGAATGTTGCAAATGTTAAACAGAAATCGTAATTTCTCTAATTTTATATTATTTACTGACGAAGCAACTTCTATAAGATATTGTATTTTTTAATACCCATAATACGCATTCTGGAGTGAAGACACGATACGAGCGTGTTTCACCAGCAGCACACACAGTTGTTTGGCCACCGCGCTCTACTGATCTTAATCCGTGTGATTTTTAACTTTGGAGTCACCTAAAAGGACTAGTTTATTCTACACCAGTACATAATTTTAAAACCTCGAGGTTCGTGTACGAAATGTAGTAAATAAACTTCGCTTTTTTACTTTAAAATAGTCAATACAATCAAATTATCTCGTTTAAGTCGTTAAAGTATATTTTGACCTCTAGCTTCTGACTTATAAGATTGGCTACATATTTTAGAACCACCCTATACAAAGTATGTTATATCATAATTGTCACAGTTATTCAATGCCTTCTGACGTAAAGTATGGTTTTTTACCTCCTAACAGAGAGCAACCTACTAATCTGTGGGTACTATGAAGGCATGATTAGTGTCACATCGGCAAAACAATGTTTTAATGAGATTGGCATTTAAGGTTATATCTCACCAACACTCAAAATATATGGGTAGAGCGAAACGTCTAGATGTTTGTCCGTAGTCTCATGTACTATTAGTTCTTTACGATACTAATTTAATATTGGACGGGGCTGTAGTCTGCAGAGTACTTGTTTTCCACAAGGTTATTAGCTAAAGATTTGATTTTGTATAGGAGTTTTATTCTTTTTTTTTTCTAAAAGATTTTGAAAATATCCGAAATATCTTCTTCTAGTCATAAACAACACTTTCATATTCTGAATTGCTCAGTGTAACTTGTATAATTAAAATTTAAAAATATCTGAAAAAGTCTTCTAAATTAATTTGGCTCCTCTTAACAATTTTTTAAAATTTAATTTTTTTGCTAAGCTATAGGAACAAGAGATGCGTACCTATCTTTTCAAAGTTTTATATTATCCCTAGCGCATTCGACAAATTATAGAAATACCTAAATAAGCTTGTTTGAAAATTCGCACCTTTAAAGTTTCAGCTTAGAAAATTTTCAGTCTCTACTACAAAAATACTCATTCTGCTCAATGTATAACGCATCACTCTTGTACAAAATTGCAAAAAGGAAACAAGATTGATTATTTTCGGTCTAAGCAACGGCAACATCGGTTGTAGTTGTAAATCTTCTCGCTATAGCTGGTACATGATACAGGGTCGGAAAGTCCCCATGGTTCATCGGCCGTTACGTGAGAGCGATAAAGAAAGTCATAGAAACCCATGCGATAGAGAAAGATGGCTATAATGAAGGCGTCTAATAGTCACCGCTCATTTCGCCCTTATACAAATAAGATCCACTTCTTATTTGTGGAAGGACGAAATGGGCGGTGACTATTAGACGCCTTCATTATAGCCATCTTTCTCTATCGCACGGATTTCTATGACTTTCTTTATCGCTCTCACGTAACGGCCGATGAACCATGGGGACTTTCCGACCCTGTATACTGATATTGTTTGGGAGATTTTATATTAATTAATTAAATAACTTACGTTCGGGCTGCTCAAAGTAAATGGCTACTAATGGACTTAAGTAGCCATTCTGATTCATAAACGGGAAGTATTGCGACATAAATCCGTCTCGAGGTATGTAACGGAAAGGTCCAATGTTTTCTTTGTCAGCAGGATTTTCTCCTTCACAGGTGATCCATACCATTTTATGCTAAACAATGTTATTTTTGTATTAAAATAAATTGACTGATCGCGAGAATGAAAGTGGCCATACTTTGATAATCAAGCATGGGACCTAATCCCAAATTTCAAATGAAATTTTAGAAAGGTGTTGCATATATAAAGGGTATTCAAATTTGAGACTTTTTAAATTTGTGTTTTTTATAGGTACTAGAACGGCTTTGGTTTTTTGACAGTTGTTAAGTAGAAACATGGCGGATAATAAATATGGAAAAGTATACGATTGAACAGCGCCTTTATTGTTAAAAAATATTTTAAATTTGGTGAAAGTTATGTAGAAGTTGGAAGGAAATATCGCACATATGTATTATTATTGAAAAACAAATTGTCCAACAAACAGCACACCATCACTCGAAATATTGTGAATAAATTTAAAGAAACTGGTTTAATTCAAGACGAAAGAAGTAAAATTTACAGTCGTAGTGGTCAGTCACAAGAAAATATTGCAGCTGTCAATGATGGTGTCAGTGCAGAATCAAATACATCAATTTGTCATCGTACACAGACAGCAATTAGGCATTTAAAAAACCACATAAAGGCTTACAAAATACAGTGAACATAAGAATTATTGCGAATACATATGTTAATTGGGCCCTTGCAGTGAAAGGAGAAAATTATTTTTTTAAACAAAATCATCTTTAGTGACGAAGCTCATTTTGAAACTAGTGAATATGTAAACAAACAAAACTGTTGCATCTGGGGTGAAGAAAACCCACGAGTAATATTGGAACAACCAATGCATCCACAAAAAGTAACTGGTTGGTGTGATTTTTGACCTGGTGATGTGATTGGGCCATACTTTTTCGAACTGCTGGAAAAGTTGTTATTGTGAATGGTGCTCGATATCGAACGATAATTATTAACTTTTTTTGGGATGTATTGAAGCGTATTAATGTGCAGAAGATGTGGTTCCAATAAGACGGTGCAACATGTACAGCAACGGAAACAATCGATCCTTTCGAACAGAAATTTGGTAATCAAATAATTTCTCAAAGAGATGTTAACTGGTTATCAAGATCATGCGATTTATGACAATTAGACTTCTTTTTATGGGTTTTTTGAAGAGCAAAGTTTGTGCTGACAATTTTCAAACCATTCAACATCTGAAAGAAAACATAATTGAGCAAATGATTCAAATTGAACCACAATGATGCTAACACGTGATGAAAAATTTTGCTAAAAGAAAGAAAGCTTGAAGACCTGCAGGAGGTGTCCACTTATCTGACATTCTATTCCATTATTATCCGCAACATGTCTACTTTAATACTTATTCACTAAAGATATCTAGTTATTTCGAATAAATTGTGTTTTATTAAAAAATTAAAAAGTTAACTCAAATTGGCAAATTTTTTATTTTCATAGTTAATTGATAGATACATACAGGTTCTTATTTTTCACAAAATTTTCATATTTCTTAAAGTTTTAAAAGTGTAATGTTAATAACATATAAAGATTTTAATTGATATCACGAAAAAAAAATGTAAATATACGTGCTACTCTTTTCAAAATCTCATCGTTGTTTTGTTCTCTATATGAGCCCAAAAATTATACCCTTTTTAGGGGAAACAGGAAATAGTATGGGTTCCACTCTTCATTATTAAAATATGACCAGTTCAATTTTCGCAAGGTTAAAATACCAAGAACCGATGTTTCATTAAAAAATTCATGTTTCATGTTAAATTAAATCAAATTAATTCTAAAAGTCTCCAACATTTTTTTCAAATCACATGCAGAATCATTTTCATATAGGCTTAAAGTTTTACATTATTAAGAGCTTTAAGGTCATAATCAGATTACATTATTTACTAATTATCATCAGCAGTGTTACTAATGTACTATAGGCAATGCTGATATATGTACTTTTGTATTGATACAAAAATTTCTAAAGTGAAATGTTGGTAAATCCCTTTCATAAAAATGAAATCGCAATTGGTTATGAATTACCAACTATATCATATCAGGTCAATAAGTTCATTTAGAAAGGTCACTTATACAGGCTGTTACAAATTAGCTTCTCACTACAGGGATCTCGAAAACGGCAAGAGATTAAGAGATACAAATTAGCTTAAATGGGGACAAAGTTGCATAATCAGGGGACTTATGCCTCTAAAAAATCAATGCTAACATAATTAGTTTTCGAAATATTTGAAAAATAAACCGAAATTTTGGAAATCCGTTTTTGTTTCATGTCAGCCTTGTTTGAGGTGATATTGAAAAAAAAGAACACTTTCTCATGGCCACTTTTTGCCCTCTATCGAATGGCATAATCAATTTTTATATGTAACGTTTCGTCTCTCCAGGACCATCATCAACTTCATTTTTTTAAATATGACCCTAGAAATTTTATTACATTTTTTGCAAGCCTTAATGACCCGCAATACTGTATTGCCTCAGCCCGAATCAGATTCAGACGTTTTGTCTCGAAAAATTCAACTTCAGTGTATTTGTTTCAAATTTATCAAAATTTTTTATTTAGATTTATTTGTTTATTGAATTATCGTGCATTGTAAGTGTCGTTAGACCCTGTGGAATCCATCTAGTTATTTAAACTATTACCACGCATTAAAAAAAATATTAGAGTTTTATTCCCGTGTCCATAGTTATTTCTAGGCTTCTCGAGCTCAAAAGTCAAACAAATTCCGATCTATTCTTTCAGGATATTCATACAAATACATCTGACATGCTCTTCCAAAGTTGCGGTTACAGATATAATAAATTCCGATAATATTAAATTTTTTAAAGAATAATATTCAGTTGGCGTTTTGGTTGTTCATATGCATTTTTAAGAATTAATTTGCCATAATAAAATTAAAATTGTAATGTTTTAATTTTGACGCAACAACTTATTGAGTTATGTATGACCAAGTGATGGTAATAGTTAATAATAATAAATGTTTTATTGTAACGAGTGGTGGTAATAATTTAAATAACTAGATGGATTTCACAGAGCCTAACGACACTTACAGTGTACGATCATTCAATAAACAAAGAAATCTAAATAAAAAATTTAGATGAATTTGGAACGAGTACACTGAAGAGATGAATTTTTCGAGACAAAACATCTGAGTCTGGTTCGGGCTGAGGCAGTACAGTATTGCGGGTCATTAAAGTTTGCAAAAATTGTAATAAAATTTCTAGGGTTGTATTTAAAAAATGAAGTTGATGATGGTAAAATAGGTAAGTAACTTGCATGCTAAGAAATAACATATGCCGGCGGATGGCACACTGCTGATACATTTGCAAGTAAAATGGAATGCCTCGTTAGTATTATGGCTTATTGGCATATCAGTAGGTAGCAAGTAGACACGTTCCGACATGCCGCTTGAACTCCCCCCGAAACCCCCCGCCTCACATTGCATGCCAAAAAATCAAATGATGTGCAATTTACTTGCGCGCCTTCTACAGGCATGCCTTTTAATAAATACACACACCAGGAGCTATCTCCTGCAAACTACTTGCATGCTATTGTGCAAGCAAGAGGCATGTGTATTTCCGCCTTTACATATAAAAATTGAGTAGCCATTCGATACGGGGTAAAAATTGTCATGAGAAAGTGTTCTTATTTTTTCAATATCACAGCAAACAAGGCTGAAATGAAACAAAAACGGATTTCCAAAACTAATCATGTTAGCCTTGATTTTTTAGGCGCATAATGTTGGTCCCCTGATTACGCAACTTCTCCTCCATTTAAGTTACTTCGTACCTCTTACGGTTTCCGAGATCCCTGTAGAGAGAAGCGAATTTGTAACAGTCTGTATATACACATAAAAAAAACAATCAAATTTCGTGTCCCTAAAAGATTTTATAGAACTTCTCTTTAATGTCAAATATGCTGAAGGCGTCGGTGACGTTTGCTACACAGGCAAAAAACTGTAAAGATTTAATAGTCGAACAATTTGGGGTTTACTGAATAACAATAACTTTATTTTATACCTTGCTCTTTTCAAGGGCAACGGAGAGAGACGAACAAAAAGTAACAAAAAACGAGGTGATGCAGATATTTTTAAACGCACCTTTATTCTTCACAAAACAACATTTTCATTGCAATAAAATATATACAGGGCGTTTGTAAATAAGTGTCGAATATGATATGAATGTGGGTAAAAAATTCTTCGATTTCAAGGTACAGTATGTTCAAAACTATTTGAAATAGTTAATAAATATAAAAAAATTAAATTTAAACACCCTGTATCTCGGAAGCGAAACATATTTCGACCAACGTATATATGAACAATTTTTCACAACTTCGGCAACCACAACCTAAAATATTTCGCACTTATTGGCAAACACCCTATATAAGACTGAACTGGTGTGAGAATTATTTTTTATTTTCCCTGCTTTTTGTTTTAAATATGACGATTTAATTAAAGTTAACGTAGATACCTATTTCATGCAAACCATTACTTTCAATAATCTCTTTAAATATAATATCGTTAGCTTTTGGCAATATAAATACTAACAATAAGTACCTAAGTTCAACATTATAATTTCCATTATCGTTTATGACTTCAGTAGTGTTTAACATTTCTAGCTTTGAAAATACATCGATTTTTTGCCCATCTTAAAGAATTTAGGCTACAAACATTTAATTGCGTATAAAAAGTAATCTAATCAATATTAGGTACTATGAAATAACATACTTAACATATTTGAGTCATTAAATAATGTTTATGTTATGTATGTTAATTTAACAACTATGACATCACTGCATAATCACAATCACATGAATCTCATCTGCGGTAAAATGTTTAGATAACTTATTTATTCGCTTTTGGATCAAGGGCTACAAGAAATTCTGCAATTAATACTAATATATTTCTGCATTTTAAGGATTGCCTGTTCCAGTTGATATTTGTTAAATACTTATTTAATGCAAATTTATGAAAATTTTTAGGAAATAGCAATACAAATACAAATGCAAATTGATATTTCATGAAACGCCTAATTGATTTTCAGTCGTTTACAAAACGACTGGAGAAAGTCACTCATATTCTAAACAAAATGAAAATTAAGATGCGTTTACAATAAGACATAGCTATTCGACGTTTTATAAAACGCCTAAAATTTTCAGTCAAATTGTAAGAAAATTGTATTTACACGTCGTTTTACAATTTGCCCAGGCATTTATAAAACACCTGCCTACCTAAAATGTTTTTTGTGATTGATGTTATAGATTTCAGTAGATGTATTCTCTTTTAAAGTTTTAATTAACTAAAATATTGGATAGTTACATATTAGAATTATTATTTTACATATACATTTTTTTATTACAGAACAACCAGTGAATGCTAAAATAATTCCTCCTCAGATATTATCCATGGGCGTCCGAATGCGTGGGCTTTGGCTTTTCCACCTAATGTACAAATATGTCACCAAATTAGAAAATGTATTTATTTTTTATTAGTTTTTAATAGTTCCATGCATTGAGTCTACCTTTTCAAATTTTCTGCTAATAAATAAAAATACTGAATATTTATTAGTCCTTATGTACAATTATTTGCCCTTGCCCCTCCATGGTTAATTTTCTGCGGACGCCCATGATGGCATTTGCTAATATTTTTCTCAACTTTATTAAAAAACACTTTTTTGGCTTTCAGTCAAGTTTTAGAGCTATTTTAAGAGAAACGCTTCAGATCGCCTGTAAATCAGGCAGAATAAAACTCATGTAGAAAATTATTGCACGCGATATTAAAATTTTAAATATCCTGTATACCCAATTGTACACTCTAGTTAATTAAATTAATATTGATGTCTTACCTCCTGTTTTGATTGCGCCTTCCTGATTTTTTGTCTCAAATGTTCGCTCATGTCGTCTGGTAGGTCTGACGATTCGTAGTACTCAGGCTTCCAGCTGTAGATCTATAATTTATCGTTAGGTGAAGAGAAAATAAAAAAACTGTTTTTTACATAGCGCACGTTTTGCGGAAAGTGACAACATAAATTTACCAATTTATTTAGTAAATTGTTTATATGAGCGTTAAAACATTGTTGAATATCCTGAAAAAATAATAAGAATGTGGATCATATCTTAATATACCAGTAGGCAGTGGTTTGACTGGTTTGTATTCGGCTTTTCAGGGAAGTAAAATGTCTAGGAGTGATCCTGGAGCTTAACTGGACTGGAATGCACACTTGGAAAAAGTGGTGAGTAAGGCGAAGCAGACATTGTGTGTATGCCGTCGCCTTATTGGGAGCACCTGGGGGCTGAAACCAAAGATGTCATACTGGTTGTATACATCGATAGTAAGACCTAGGATTCTTTATGGCGCTGTGGTGTGGTGGCAAAAAACACAACAGACCACAGTGAGGGAAAACTGAATAGAATTCAGAGACTGTCCTGCTTAGGTATAAAGGGGGCGATGGCATCGACCACGATAGCTGCGCTAGAAGTCATGCTAAATCTACCACCGCTGCATATAGTGGTGGAAAGAGAAGCGCGGCTAGCAGCATACCGACTCTGGAATAACAACGACTGGAGGGGTAGTTCCTATTCCAGGATTATGGACACATCTATGTCGGAACCAACTCTTGGGATGGTATCTGACCGGATAGTTCCAAGGTTTCACTTCCACAAGCCATTTGAGAGTCGGATAGAGGATCAAAAGGAATGGGAGGAAAAGTTTGATATCCTGGAAAGATGGAGCCTAGTATGGTTTACGGATGGCTCCAAAATGGCCAGATGGACGGGTGCAGGAACATATGGACTCAGAGCCAGATGGAGTGCAAGCTATAGTCTGGGGGTATTCCAAGCAGAAATTTTCGCGATAATGGTGTGGCTGGCAGAGAATGTAATTAGGTTATAAACGTAAACTATTCTCCGATAGTCAAGCTGCAATCAAAGCTTTAGGCGCTCACAAGATAAGTTCAAAACTTGTGGGGGATTGTTTACAAATGCTGACTGAACTGGCCACCAATAATACAGTTAGACTGGGTTGGGTGCCAGGGCACAAAGGCATTTGCGGGAACGAGATAGCGGATGAACTAAAAAGGGATCCGAGACAGAGTTCATTGGCCCGGAGCCCTTCTGTGGTACACCTCCCAGTGTGGTCAGGCGGGCTCTGGACAAATGGACTGCACGTAGTAGAATGACGCTCCTGGGGAGACCCTATTTGGAACCCATGGAACTGAGAGAAGTGTCAGCAAGGAAGCTTTTGGACCTTGTCAAAAGGACAAAACTGCTTGCGGAATAGGACTAGTAGTAGGACGCACAATAGGCCTAATTAGGCGGCAGTGCCATGGGACTTATTAGGACCAACCGCTAGAAAAGAAGAAGAAGAAGAAGGCAGGGGTTCAGAAGTAGTTCAATAAACTATAAAAAATTTTTTTACAAATCGGCTACAAATATGTTGTAGAACAAAACATTAAAATGCACGAGAGTCACACAGTAATAAAAATAAAGTTTTTAATAATTTACGTGGAAAAAAAATCTTTTCTATCTGCTTGTTTTTTAATATCTCGGTTGGATTGCAGTCTGTGAAGATAATGTAAGCAATTATTTTTATTTTCAATACAATTTTCTACAAAATAGCGTTGTTCCGTTTTTTTTATTACAAAAAATAGTTTTGCAATTAACAAAAAATTGCAAAAATTGTTAATTTTCTAAATATTATTGCCGAGAACTTTGGAATGATGGTATGTTTTTTCTAGATCTTGCGTCTTTGCGAAAGATTCCTTTCCCTGGGCATTTTATTTGATATTAGAATATCATATTAACGAAATTTACCTTATTTAACTTCAAGAAGATGCATGGTCCTCCTTTTGGATCACCGAAACCAAAGCCACTCTCTTCCAGACAGGGATGCCAACTCTCGGTCATTGGTACATCACAAACTTTACCATCTGTTGCATTTTGGAAATCCGCGCATGTCATAATATTTGAATCATAGGGGTGTTTCTCTTTTTTGTAAACTAAAAGTAAAGAATGCATTGTAAATAATTAAAAGAGAGATGAATCGGTATAACTTATTAGTTATGATTAGCTAAAACTTCTACTTACTTTTCAAAAAATCTTTTAACTGATTTTGCCAGTACTGTACATTTCCTTTATCACTACTTTTGTACCAGATTAATGTACTTTCTACATTACTTTCTGGAGGCATGGGTCTAAAACCTAAACCTGAAACAATATATTTCATTTTCAGAAATTTAAATTTTTTTAATTTTTATAACAATATCTGAGACTAGAATGGACTATTGATATGGAAAAAATAACAGGTATATCCCTGTTTTTGATAGTTTGGTAGCTTCAATTTTTTATTATGTTGTCCCAGGGACATGCAATAAAGTGATTTTTTCTCCAAAAAGGAAGCAAGATATGACAAAATTTCAAGAGATAAAAATGTATTTTTAGTTGCTTATTGCGAAGAAAATATGAAAGTTTTTAGAAAGTTAGTGGCGTACATTTTTTTTGTCAAAAATATTGGTTAAGGTGCTCCCCCAGGACGCCACTGGACTTAATAATTTTAATTGAGTTAGAGCTAAATTATCCCCCTTCTACCGTAAATAACACTGTCAAATTTCAACAAAATCGGCTTAAGTATTATAAAGATTTTTATGAGAAAACGATTTTTAAAAAAGTTTGACACTGTATCTTCAAAACGAAGCATTACCGAATCTTTTTATATAAACTTTTCGTCTTAGAATCACCCCTTGAAGTTTGTACAATATCATTAAACAGCATGTAGGTATATTATCTAGTTATTATTTTGATTAAATCAAATACATACAGGGTGGGCCATTAGTATGAGAAAGTAAAATCATTCCCTTGTTACTCATAATACAGAAAAAAAGTTTATATAAAGGTTATACATAATCAAGAAACTTAAACTACAAAATTAATTTTATACATACAGGGTGATGAGTAAAAGCGGGACACGCCAAATATTATATTTTTTAAATGGAACGCCCTGTATATTTTTAAACATATGGATTTCTGAGAAAATCCTATATATGACAATATCAACAGTTTATCATTTTGCTGCGGGGTTGCCAAGTTATGTAGAATATTCCTCAAATTTTGGAAAAAACATGACCTCGAAGAAGTTGTATTAACTTTCAACTAATAACACTTGCAGCAAAAATATTTGATAGAGCAAATGTTAGGCAAATACTCCTATATTAGTTAATATCGATATTTTATACAGAGCATTTTTTATAATACGATCATTTGTAGAAAGTTTAAACTTGATTTTATAAAATTTTTCAAATTGAACACCCTGTATTTTATTTTTCTATTTTATTCACATATCGGTCCACTTCAACTTTTATTAAGCATGTTATATATCTAAAATTGTTAGTTTTTAAGATATAGCAACATTTCAAAAAACTTAATTTTTATTATTTTATAGAATACCACAAATAAATAATAACTAATAAAATTAACTCAAAATGGAATGATAAATTATCAACTGACAAGTTGACACAATGTAACAGTTTTTCCATTTGAAAAATTTTAGAAAATCAAGTTTAAACATTCTTAAAATGATCGTATTATAAAAAATGCCCTGTATAAAATTTCTATATTAGCTAATATATGTAGAAGTCTTTGCCTAACATTTGCCTATAACTATGTCAAATATGTTTACTTCAAGTGTTAGTATTTGAAAGTTAATACAACTTCTTCGAGGACATGTTTTTTCCAAAATTCGAAGAATTTTCTACATAACTTGGCATCCCCGCACTAAAATGTTAAACTATTTATATTGCCATAATCATATAGAATTTTCTCAGAACTCGATTATACAGGGTGTTCCATTTAAAAAATGTAATATTTAGCGTGTAGGTTTTTTGATTCTGTACAACTTTTAAATAAACTTTTTTTCTTTATTATGAATAACAAGGGAGTTATTTTACTTTCTCACAGTAATGGCCCACCCTGTAGTTATGAAATATGTTCAGAAAATAAAAAGTGTCATATTAAGCTAAAAGTTTCTTATGAACATGGACCCAAACGCTTTTATACTTGGTATAAAAATACCGAGTGGTGAAAGTGTGCCGTCAAAAACTCATATTTTAAAATAATAACTTCAAAATGAGCATCATAATTAGCTTTCAAATTTTATTTTTCTTTATTTATTATTTATTTTTAAGAAAAGTGGGTTAGAATTATTTTCGAAGCCAATAAGAAATATACTTTTCTCGGAGTGAATGGATTTTAGTAGTAATATGGCAATTTGCTTTTTTTAATTTTTATGGATATAAATGAATAAAATTTTAAAGCAATCCGCGTATATTGCCAATTTTCGCGAAATAAACTATGTATATTATCAAAATCGACCCTAATAACAATAATAAAAGAACAATTTTTTTATTAAGAACAGTTGATTCCCCCTACTATTCTATCATGAAATTATTGCAACTGATTTATTTATCTAAAGTTATTTTAAACAAATGTATTTTTGGCAACACACCTTTATCATAATGTATTTTAAAACGTTTTCGATCCTATGTTCCATAATAACCTTTTGCATAATTTAGAATCACCCTGTATGATGTATTATAGATGTGACAGCGACTAACCTGGATTATCTCCAATTAACGATTCTTTTAGCTCCCATTTGGGCTTCTTCATATCTAAGGTTTGATAAAACACAGCCAACATTGCAGCGAAAAATCCTATCAATACTGAATAGAAAATTAGATAGAACAGCAGGATTTTCCCTGAAAAAAAAAGAATTTTTAAGCATCGGGCCATAGAAGCAAGGTGTCGTAATTGTATAGGAAAGGACAAAGAAATTTTTAGCTATTTTTTCTGAATGTTCGATGTCATTTTTAATTTTTGTTTTGGATAATTATATTGTTAGCCGTTTACTGGTTATTGCCTATACAGTGGTTGTTTCTCGCCATATCAGCAGTTAAAAGAGCAGAGTTTTTTTGCATCGAGATTTCATTTGACGTCATTTAATTTGATTTTTTTAGAAAACATTTTTAAATTAGATTAACATCTTTAAAATAGAATAAAAAACATAAAATATAGGCTTCAAATTTGGTACTATACGATTCCCTTATAGTAGTTACCTATTTATATGACTTTATAGAAGAACTAACCAGTGGCGTCGAAATTAGCAGATGTCTGAGGATACATATCTCTAAAAAAGGAAATCTATAAAAGTATTTGTAAAAGATTCTCTTTAAGATCAAATATTATTCTTTTAACAGTTGAACTTCTCAGAACTTCTCAACTCATTCGTCACTCATTGTTTTTTTTTTTCAAATTTTACGTGAAATGACTATACCAAATTTTTAATCTATTTATTTATAGGTCTTTGAATGGTTGATGATTATTTCAATTCCAATCTCTGAGGAACATATTATTTCTTTTTTCGACGAGAAGAATCAGCCCTGAAAGTTGTCACAAACTACAACAAAATATGGCTAAGAGGAAAATCTTGTTGTCATGTATCATCTTGTTATCTACCTATTAATTTACATTCTTTCCATCAGGATTCTTGATTCCCATATACAGAAAATATTTTTTCCGAAAAAAGTTGACATGTTAACATGTTAATAATATTTATTTTAGTTCCAGTTGAGTAAATATGCAAAATGGTCTACATGAATTAATAACAAACATTAGAAGTCAAATTAATTAATGATTAGTGGATTACAAAATTCTTCTTCGCATCTTTACTTTTTTATTAACTTTGAAACACAGCTTTCCCAAAACGTTGTTTGATACTCGATTGTGAAATATTTACGCATTCTTGAATGATATTTTTGTTCGCTGCGCTCGTAAAAATAACTTTCATTTTTTAAACGCAAAAGAGATATTAAGCAATCTAAAACAACGGTTTTAATATTCAATGAACCGTACTTCTAGTTATTATGGATAAGAATTTTTTTAAGTACTGTTCAAAAATGTTATAGTATAAATTTTCGACTGAAAAGGATTGGATTTAGCTTCTTTGGTATACAGCAGCGATGATATGGCAGCAGTTTGAGAACATTCACCGTATACTAATATCACATCGATTAATTCATCACTACTGTTATACCATACCATCGCATTGTCATCATTATGTGACAAAAAGAAAACTATGAAGGAAACACGAATAACTGTACTATGATAACATGACTAATTCCTCAATTTTTTTGTTGGACTTTCAGTTATAGTATAAGAATTTAATATTATGTTAATAAATGGTTTTTTATTATTCTTGAAGTTTTGAAAACTTGGATTTTATTTTGCTTATTTTGTTGAATTCTAGCCGGGTTATAAAACACCCTGTATGTAAGGAACGACTCACTTCTCACTACACATTGCATAAAAAGTGTAAGCATTAACAGAGAAAATATAATTTAATCTCGCTGAACAATCGATTTACATCCAGTCGTCAATTATTCGCACAACCTGAGGTGTACGAAACTATGAAGATGTGGAAAAATACTTAATCTCTGTCGATATCAACCGGTGTAATCATAAGTAGGTCACTTAAACACTGTTGGATAAAATATACTACAGAGATGTTGGGTTGGGTGGCGTCGATCAATACCCACTCACCCTACGTAGCAAATAACTACCCTCACTTCGCTACTTGTTATTTTTTAAACAACTTCCAGAAATTTGCCGAAAAACGATGAATTTTCAGTATTTCGATGTTCAAAGTGTCCTTTGATGTAAATAAATAAAATTTAAGGGACGGAATTACAACTACAACTCAACTGTTACTAAAAACTTGCTAGTATGCAAGTTCTTGTTTTTGAAATTTTTACTTGAATTATAAAATGTTACCTAGCGGGTCCAAATTTAAAAATAGAATTAGAAGAAATAGAAATAGGATATTTTAGTTCCAACTGAAAATGTATATACAGAACTTTCGTAAATGATTAAAAGCCACGTGACCACCGAACTTAGTCAACCAATATTACACGGCTGATATTGTGATTTAAATATCACTAAATCTTAGCTTCATCAATATTAATGATTCGTTTATAATGGACAATGACAAACCGTTACGTCTATGCTCGAGATAATGCGATCGCTAATTGGTGGAATAAAATTTCGCGAAATATTATAACAATTACCAGCCGGTGAAACAGAATGTTATGTTTTAATGTAATCTTGATCTTATTGTTTTAATAATATTTAATTTTACTTAAATTTTATTGCCAAGTGAAGGAAATAAAACTATTGCGCCAAACAAAATTACTGGTCACGTGACTTGTAATCATTTATGAAGGCACTGTATATTTTACTAATATGCCACTTTTTCACCCACTAATATTAAAAAAATTAGTTTTTGTCATAATTTTAATAAGGAATTGCCTCAGTAATAGTTGCCAATAAAAATATCAATCACACTGCATTCGTGCCACGCTAAAAATTGTACGTTGTTTAGCCTTTTGATAAATACAAAACTTTATTTCTGTGCCTTCTTGAAAGGCTTCTGGCTAACATAAAATTGGATGCTCTTCAATTTTAAACCTACGAGAATTTCCCTTTTTAAACCTGAAAGATTTCAAGTACCACTGAATTTTTCATGATTCACTTTAAATTAGAAAAGACTTTCTTTGCTTTCGGCTTTCTATAGGAAAATTTGTTACCAACTTTGTATAATATAAATAAACATCATTAATAAAGGGCCCCGCATAAACCTTATGGATTTCAGGTCCCGGTGGATTTATCTGGATTTTTGATATTTTGTACCTACTTGATGTGCTCCTGATCAAAAGTGTCAATGATCTATCCCATGATATATCTGCCCCTAATATATATATATCGATACAGGATGTCCCAATTTAAATTACGCACTTGAATATCTCGCCAGGGAAGCCACCAATCGGAAAATAACCCTTACTACTATTTTTCAAAAAATTGAACAACTTGATACTAAAGATCGTTAAAAATCTTTTGAAAACGTCCTCTTGTTCCAAGAATTTTTTTGAAACGTTATTTTTTTCGTGGGTGCAGTAAATGCACCAATTTTGAAAAAATATTCTCTGACTGGAAAAAATTAAGTACTTTTCATTATTTTTATTAATTGAAGCACCATTTTAATTTTTTGCGCATACTTTCCTACACCCTGTACTATGTCATATGAGTAGTGTTGTAAACAGATTTTCAAAAGAAACAAAGTCTAAATAAGTAACGATAAGAAGAGCCTGAAGGTCAACAACTAACTAATTTTGCAATGTAACATGTTTTTTGAAAGGTATTCTCTGAACAAAAAACCGGCACCATATACAAGGTGATTCACAAATGGCGACCAAAAATGAAACCTCGTATTTTTTGGTGAATTTTAAGGGGAACCTTCCCTGTAAAGTTTTTATCTAAGACGCTTGGTTGAAAAGATACAGGGTGTTAAACTTCAAAAAATATTTTTAATTTTTTTTAATAATTTAAAAACTATTGTGTGAAATAGTTTGAAATTGGGCACATGTACTTATGTAAATATTTTCCAAAATCTGGGCCCTCTTCTAAAATTTACATGCTTCAGTGGCGGAGATACAGGGTATCGTTGGCATATTTTTCTAAATAAAATAGTACACCACTGCTTTACGGTAACAACCATGATATTTTCGGATTCGTCTTTCAATTTTCTACAAATTACTACTCTTTGTTTTTCAAAAAAAAGCCGGATTTTCGAGTAAAACTTAAAAAACGAACTGAGAAGACACTTTGATATTCGAATCTAATGCTTTTTAAAATTACATAGTGGGCTGCGATAGCGACTTTGACATTCTGAGCAGTTAGAAGAAAGATATAAATAATGCTTTTCATCAGATTCAAGCAAGAATAAATTTCGAAGAAATTACATTTTCGTTACTAAAAAGATGTCGGACCTGCGTTCGTGGAAATGGAAGTATTTTGGAGCATTTACTCAAATAAAATCATTAAAATGATGACTAATTAATTTCTTTATTCGAATAAATAATAATAGAAGAATGATTAGTGCTTGTCATATCATTTATGTAAGTGTTTTCAGTTGGATTTTTAAGTTTTACTCGAAAATCAGTCTTTTTCGAAAAACATAAGAGAGTAGTAATTTGTAGAAAATTGAAAGACAAATCCGAAAATATCATGGTTGTTACCGTAAAGCAGTGCATATTTTATTTAGAAAAATATGCCACCGATACCCTATGTCACCGCCACTGGAGCATGTAAATTTTAGGGAAAAACCTTCAGATTTTGGACAAAGTTTACATAAACACGTGCCAAATTTCAAATAATAATTTCACCTACTAGTTTTTAAATAATTTAAAAAAATTAAAAATATTTTTAACATCCTGTATTTTTTAACGAAGCGTCCTAGATAAAAACTTTATAGTAAAGACCCCTTAAAATTCATCAAAGAATAGGAGGTTTCATTTTTGTTCACCATTTATGAATCACCCTGTATTTTACTATCAATTTTCTTAAGCTTACAAAATCATGAAAAATACTATGTTTATTCCATTGATTGCAGAGGTTTGGTAAAATTTCATATTACAGTTTATACATTTAAATCGTCTGCTGTTGGAGGTTGTCAGACGTATGTACTTGGTGATCTTCCTATGGCGCCTAGTAGGTATGCAACCTAACAATCAAGAGTTAGATGGGAACTAGAATTTTTTAATTCTCTTTAGACACATTTTTAAACCCCTGTACTTCCTGTATATATTCAGGAAAAGGTAGGAAAAACATATGAATTTTTCTATGAATGGTGCGAAAAGAACAAATA